CTTTCGCGTCTCTGCCAGGTTGAGAGTTGGCGGGATCCACGCTCTTGGACTCAACAACTTCCCCGACTTGTGACCGGAGACCACTGATTTCAGTTCGCAGATTGGTCTCGGTCTCAATGGCCTTGTTCTGCGCTTGGCGAGATGATTCTCTCTCGTCGTCTAGTTGTTTCTGAAGTGTCTGCCTCGCACCTTCTGCAGCTTCTTTGACAGCTTTCTCGGCCGCTTCTTTCTTCTCCATCATATGCTGTCGTTCTTTATCGTCTGCGTCTTTTGCAGCCTTTTCGACAGCTTCTTTCTTGTCCTTCTCATGCTGTCGAACTTCCATGTTTGCATCTTCTTCGGCCTTTCTGACTGCATTTTCGACGGCCTTTTTCTTCTCCTCCTCATACTGTCGCTGTTTCTTTGTCGCATCTTCTGCAGCCTCTCTGACAGCCTTCTCAACAGCTTCCTTTTTATCCTTCTCGTGCTGTCGATCTTTGTCTTTTGCATCTTCGGCAGCCTTCTTGAGCGCAATTTCGACTGTCTCTCTCTTTTCCATCTCATTCTGTCGTTCTTCACCAGCACCAACCTCAGTGGCCTCCTTCCCGGCTTCATTTGCCTTTGCGGCGGCGGCCGCCCTCGCATCTTGAATTGTTTGGCCAAGACGATTGATCTCCTCGTCTTTCTCCTTCATAGCATTCTGGTGTTCTATCGTCGTCCGCTTCCTCGTATCCTCGAGGCGTTGCAAGTCAGCGCCAGCCTTCTGTTCCGCCTCCTGGGCGTCCTTGAGCTCGCGTGATAGCTCCTTCTTTTGCTCCTCTACCTTTCGAGCTGCTTCCTCAAGGCCTCTGTCTTGGGCGCATGTAGCCTGCTCTAGCCGCTTCTCGAGATCTTCCTTCTTCTTCGATGAGATCTCCGCATCTTTCTCGATCTTCTTGTCTCGAGCCTTGACAGTATCTCGGAGCTTCTCCACCCCATGCTGGCAATCCTGCAGCTGCTGTCTCAGATCTTGCGTTTCCTTCACTGATAGTTGCTGCTGCTTCTTGGCTTCTCCAAGCTGAGACTTGAGGTCTTTGACCTCTTGGCCTGACTTCAGGCTAGTAACCTTCCGCCGAAGGTCAGCTATTGTATCTTCTTCCTCTTTTATACTCCTCTGAAGACCTCCGATCTCGAGCTTCAGCCCATGCACTAAATGGTTCTTGTCCTCGCGAAGGGCCGTCATTTGATCGTTCAATTGACTCGAGGTGCGTTGGTGGTTTCGCTGCTCTGCCTCCGCCTTGTCCTTCCAGCCGCCCAGTGCTTTAACCCTATCCTCCAGTTCGCGAAGCTGATCTTTGAGGGTGCCGATTTCACGGTCTTTCTCCTTGCATCGGTCATCCAACTGCTTCTGCAGACCCCGCTCGGCGGAAGCCGCAAGCTCTTCCGACGTCGTCACTGTTGATCTCAGTTGCCTCATCACTACTTTGAGCTCCTTGATGGTACTGTCTTTTTCCTTTATTGCAGCATCATGCTGCTGCTCACCCGCAGTCACCTGACGGCGAGCCTCCGCGAGGTTGTTCTCTACCATTTCCTTTGAGAAGTTGAGCGCGTTCCGCTCTTGCCTATTGATGAGCTCTGCAGCTGACTTCTTCTGCTCATAGCTCTCTTTCACCGCGTCAATGCGGCCATTCACCCCAGCTATTGCCGTTTCTGCGGCTTGTTCGGCGGATTCCTTTGCCACGTTCAGCGAGTTGAGGTGGTTGTTGTATTGGTCTAGCATGCGCTGATACTTTTCCATCGAGCCAGCATTCTTGCTGAGTAGTGTTTGATTCTCTTCAACAAGCTCATGGTTCTCATCCCGCGTCAACCGCAACATCACATTCTGCCCGCTGATGATGCGTTCGAACACCTCCCTCGAGTCTTCCCACCCGTGTCTAAGATCATCTTCCGCTCTCTGGAAGCGCACGGTCTCGGATCTTAGGCCCTCCTCGGCCTTTGCTTGACGCTCGACGGTGCCGGCGACGAGTTCGATCGTTTTCCGAAGATCCGGGCCGTATCTTCCCTCGGGATCGACCAAGCCACGAATCTCCTTCTCGAAAACTTCGGTTTCCGTGGATTCCTTCTCCACTACAGCAGTGCTATCTTCCACCTCCTGCTCCTGCTCTTCCTTCTCTGTCTCCTCACCAGCAACGGTAGAATCGCTACTAAGAGAGTCGATCTCGGCACCTTGCTGCTCCGGAAGTGGTACATTAAACGCCATCTGGATGTCATCGCCTGATAACTGCTGGTACTCAAGCGAGTCGAAGAGCGGTTTGTCTGGATCGTCTTCTGGGCCAAAAGACTGACCTTCGACAGGTGTTGGCTCGGGGAGAGGTGGTAATGTAGTAGTATCAAACCCGGCAACGACAGGCACTGGCACGGGTGGAGGGGGTATTGTGGTGAGCTTTGATTTGCCGTGGCCAGGTGCCTGTTCCGTCGAAAGGGGCAACATGGTTGGATTTGGTCCACCGACGACAGATGTTGGTTCGGTCGATGGGGGCACTGCGGTGGGGTTTGATCCGCTCTCGCCGGGTGTAGGCTCGGTCGAAGCAGGAGTACTGGGCTCTGACCCTTCCTCGGCAGGTGTTGGGTTGTGGGACAGTGTTAATGCCGTGGGACGTGACCGGCACTCCTTGACTGTTGGGACCCAAGGTTGCAAGAGCTTGCTTGGAAACGACCCCATCGGCAACAACAGGTCTTCGACTGCAACGAGGAGATCCCGCACTTCACGCCTCGATGGGTTTAAGAATGGGAGGGCAAGGGTATGGTCCCAGGCGGTGATGAGTAACAATATGACGAGAATGGACAAAATTAGAACCAATAGGTCTGCCATGTTGCCAGTCATCAGTGGGAGCTGCGTGACGTGGATGGGTAGCTGCCAATAATGTGCGTCAAACACTATGATGGAGAAACTATGAGCGATACAGGACTAATTGTGAACATGGGATCTTGGATGTGGTTGAGGTATGTGTATGCTGTAGGTTGTGGAAAGTTGAAGGCGTGAGCGTTGTTGTGGAAAATAAAGGTCGGTGTTCAAGCGTTGTCATGGGAAATCTCCTCAACACCAGATACGTTCCGCGCGGCCAAAGTACACCTCGAGCTGACTCATCGCTCTTGGGTTTGCTATGAACAAAGAACTTACTGCTTCGCCACCGCTGGAGCAATTTCAACACTTGCGAGACCTCAGCTGCTAGCGTAAGAACCTTTCCTCCCCATCACCCACAATCTTAGCTTCACCATTCTATGCTATCGGTGGCTGCTGTTTTCTAGGGTAGATGGAATCAATCTAGAAGTGCCAGCTTGACAACAAAGAGCCTTTCACGCACACCATCCCCCCACTTCTTTGTCCTCCAAAAGCACAAGACTCCAATCTCAAAATATGCTCCTTAAGAGCGCGAGCTCTTGAGGCGCAGATACCCAGGGTCAAATCAAACCAAAAGAATCACTCCACGTTTGCTCGTTTCTTGAACGCCCAAGGAAAGCTCTAACCATGACATTTGTTTGGAATGATCCTAGGAAAGCTAGCTTTGAGACTTCGTATCCAAGTCACCATGAACTGCCAGCAGCCCTATCACCATATGTAGTTCACAGATTTGCTACCCACGATATCAGCTCCATCAGTAGTCCATCCATCATACATCTGAAAAACTCTTGTCCTACCATCCAATGGACTGCCGTCAAGTTCATCTTCGACTCAGAGACTGCAATGTCTTTTTCGACCCGCAGCCAGTCCGCAGCAAGTGGTCACTTGCCTCTGTATCAAAATCCTTGTTGGCGTCTGCCCTCGCTCAACTGGGGATGGTGTTGGCACCTATATTGTTCGCATGCATGATACGAAAGACTCTCCTCGCGGGTGGGTTTGCAGCATCCTGTGCTCACTCAGTCCTAAAGGTTTCAAGTGGCCTTCGAAAAACAAGTTTGTGCATGCGTGCAGACGTAGAGCTGGAGTAAATCAAGTTTCTATTAATGATATCTGGGATTGAGCAAAGTACAAGGCAATTTTCAAATACGTTGTAGTTTCCTCTGGGTATTACGTGTAGAAGAGCGCGACGAGAAGCATTGGACAAAGCAACACATAGAGCCATGCCATTGAAATCACAGCTTCCAATTGAGGATCTTGATCATTGCAAGGATACAAGAAGAGCTGAGCAGAAGTCTTTGAACAGATGTAGTCATTTCTGAGCACTGTTCTGTGACAACCCCGCTAACTAAATCCACGCTCCTCATACTGACATGTACTCTACGTAGAGCGGGTCAGTGTCTTGGCGCAATCAGGCAATACCTCACATCATGGTGCCTTCAGCCTGTTGCTACTGTATCCACTATAGTCAATCAGATTATTACTTGCTATACTCAACGGAGTCTTTAATGTCGATCACTTCTGCGCCGCTAGGTCGAAGAGACGAGAACGTGCAACTAGAGAAACAATGGAGAAGTCTTCCGGACAAGAATCTGTCGATTTATTTCTGTTGCTATCAACTCCAAACGCCAACGCCTCTAGTCTGTCTGTAAAGGAATGCCGCATCTCTGTCATTCATTCCTTAAGACCACTCTGGAGTTGCTTCATCCAGGCCTCTTCGTATGAAGATTATTTCCGCCATCCATCAATCCAGATCTTTTCAAGTCACAAGACACCAAACCTCCACCTAGTCTCAAATCCTGCCCCTAAAATGAACCCTCGCGAGCACTATTAGAAAGTATCAGACCCATAGCCTACCGCTTCGATATCTCGAAACAGCCAGGTGGATCGCTCCGTTGCCCACCGCGTCAGCCCAGCTGACCGCTTCAGCACAGCTGAAGAATGTGGGACGGAGTTATTACAATAGAATGAAGAATGGTAACAAATGTCAGCACGACCTTGAATCATAGCCTAGACACATATCGTTGAGAAATGCCGTCGAGTCCTAGGGTAAATCTATCGCAAGCCCCCCCCCGAAGCAATGCTGATGCAAAGCTTAGGCGGGAAGATGAAGCGTGCTGTTCAATGAGAAGATATTGAGTAATCACTGGTCGCGAATTGCTGGGTCTATATTCTCGAGAGGAACGAAGGTTGGTCCTCCGTTGAGACGAGACTTTGGTAGAATTTTGTGTCGGTTCGAAATGTCCTCCGGCGTAGAGAGTCTAGCGCCCATTGAAACCTCGTGGTCTTGGACTCCCCAGTCATCGAAAGCGGGGTTGTCCTGATGGTCGCCATATGTTGGGTGGCCTAAAGGCGCTCCGGAGCGCTTCCGCGGGTTTGATTGAGGCGCAGGTTGTTCAGTTTCGTTCCATAGGTCGAAGATATCATCGACTGGTTGAGCGGCATCCTCGTCACCTCGCGGTGCCCTAACGAGTGAGAGAGCCTTGTCCATGTCGACCTCAGGATTCTCGGCCAGGAGACGTCCCAATTCATTCAATGTCCGCTTCGCCGCTTGGAGTTGTGCGAGAAGCACAGGTCGTCCTGCATCTTGGAGGAGACGCACATCCGAATCACAGAAGTCCGCACCGAACATATTTTGGCCTAAAGCCTCGCTGTTCACCCCAACATATGTCACATTGTAGTCAAAAATATTCATGCTACAATTTGCTCTCTGGAGTTCGTTGTGAAGATCCAGTAGTCTTGGATCTTCCGCCATCGTGTATATTTCTTCGTTGAGGAGGTCCAAGTGACGCTGTGCGTCTCGTCTCTGGCTCTGAAGTTCATTCTCCAGATTTCGTTGAATCGAGTCTCGATGGTTTCGGTTATTGGCCTCGGCCACCTGAAGTTCGAGTACCTCTTTCTCGGCTTTATGGGCTCGAGCCTTCATCTTGACGAGGTTTTGGCCGTCGGAATGAAGGTTTCTCACTTGCGTTGCCAGCTCAGCTTTCTGGCTCTGCAAGTCTTCCTTTTCGCGCAGTATCTCCTTCTCTTTTTCCTCCGAGACTGCCTTCAGTTGGGCTTCTAGCTTTTGGCGTTCGATCTGACACCGGAGATTGTCAGCAACAACCTCCCTATCGTGTTCTTCCTCCAGGCCTCGCTTGTGCAAAAGCCATTGGTCACGGAGCTTGTCAAAGTTCTCGAAGCCGAGTTCGAGCTCTTTCGTCCTATTAGTGAGTCGATCTTCGCGCTCCTTCTCGGCAGCTGCGAATTCCGCCTCCAGTTCTATCTTCAGCAGTGCTGCTTCCTCTGCCGTCTTGCCCAATCTCTGGTTTTCGCTCTGTAGGCGCTTCACTTGCTCCTGGATTTGCGGATTGTATGCATTCGCCGCAATTCCTAGCTGTCTCTCCAAGACATCTTTCTCTGCTTGCAGGGCATTAACACTGTTTTGAAGTGCATCTGCTCTAGCGTTCTCAGCCTTCAACCCCTTTGCCAAGGATTCTGCGTCTTCTCCTGGTTGTTTGTCTTTATGATATGGCTTGGACGACCTCGGACTGCCACCGTGCCCGTTCTCCCAGCATTCCAAGTCTTTATCCATTCTATCCTTGGCTATCTGAAGAGAATCAACCCTTGTTTGCAGACCTTCATTCTTAGCCTCAGCTCTGATAAGTTCCATGCGCTGATTTGCCCTTAGAGTATTCATCTCACTCTCGAGCGTCGTGTATTCTTTGTCTTTAGAACGGTAACCATTCTCCCACACCTTTCCCCACTTGTTCAAAGTTGTAACCTCGCGTTGGTGGTTCTCGATCTTGCCTTTGGCTTCGCTGAGGGCCTTCCGTGTGTCGCTTAGCAACTTATCGGTTTTCTCGAGGACCTCCCCATCTGCCTTGGCTACGATCTTTAGATCACGAATCTCCCGCTCTTGGCGGTCATTGCGGGCACGGAGTTCCTCGTTCTCGTTTTCCTTCGCAGCCAGTTCCTCCGTCTTCGCTATCTTCATCTGGACTAAACTCTCATGCAGTTTACACACAGTACCCACCTGATCCCTGTGAAGCACGATGACTGGCTGCAATCTGCGAGCAATCTTCATTCGCTCTTGTAGTGTCGAATTCCACCCGCGAATTTCGGCTATTTCTTCTTGATGTTTGATTTTTATGCGGGTAATCCGATGCTCCATCTGTTTATCTGCGATCTTCAAAGAGACCACCGAGCCTTGTGTGACTCTATTGCATGTTTCAATCGTTGCCTCCACCTTCTCTTTCAGCTCAATGATACGGCTATCCTTGGCTTTGTTGTCGTCGAGCAAGTCTTGATGTTTGAATTGGAGCTCGCAGTTGTTGTCGCAAATCTGTTGCCGTTGTTCATTTCTCGATTTCAGCGCCTCATTTTGACCGCGAATGATGCCACACAAACGCTCTTTCTCATCATCAAACCTGTGCTGCAGGTTTTCTTTCTCTATCCGCATGACGTCTTTGTCCTTTCTATGTTCCTCAATGGCGTCTCTGTGTCGCTTTCTGATGTTTTTAACGAGACCAGCAGTGTCTATCAAATCACGGCTATACAGGCCTTTGGGGTCGGCCTCAAGACGAATAGCTTCTTCCATGGCGTTTTTTGGCACAAGTGGGACCATTTGTATGTCTTCAGTATTCGCAGATGTGCTTTCGACTGATTCGGTATTGGAGGCTTGGTCACGAGCTACGAATTCTCGTAGTCAGCAACGCTTCGTCAAGATATCAAACTTGGCAAGAAGATAGCCCGAAAGGGTAGACAGCTGTTTACTACCGGAAACACATCTTAAAAGGAGAGAAGTAGACCGAAATATGGATACTGTACTTCCAAGGGTACATACCAGAGTGGTCTGGAGTGATACAGTGGGGAGCAGCGAGGGCAACTCTGAACCGTTCAGCCCACATGTCGGCGTCGTTGTTTTCGACCATCCAGTGAGATGAAGTGCTTGTGACACGGTCTTCCTCTCGGAAGGCTGGAATCCGCTCCATGTCTGGCGCAGAGAACGGTTCCATCTTCCTGCGTGCAGCCCATCCGATTGCGGATCTCATGGCTTCGAGCACGCGAATGCCTACTCTAGATAGTGACATGATTGTAGCTGCTAGAGAGGTAAGGTCGTGCGGTCGAAAGAGTATGTATTTTGTGATGAAAACAAGGTCTTGGTGGGTAGTTGGTGGATGAGGATTGTCAATGATGGGAATGTAAGTAAGGAAGGCGAGTGTGCGTTTTGCAAATGAGCAGTAAAATTGCAGCGTTAGCATTTGGGAATGCCTTCAACACTCCAGTAGTCATGAGTCATCTACCTCGGTGGATGAAAGTTCCGGAACGCGCTATCGCTATCGCGGGAGCAGAGGTTGGGCTGACCTTGAACGGTCGTCAACACCTACAACTTCGGGACTTGTACAACAACCCCACAACCCATCCTGCCTCCATCTTTACATATCAACTCTTCCTTCCTCAGATCATTATGCAGTACGAATACTTGGACTTCTGGCGATGCTGAGACAATTCTGAAGAGCTTTGGGCTGCATCTTCACCATTGCTTGAAAACAAAGGCGCTTTCACATCCACGACTTTAGTTTCTCTCTCTGTGACCTGTCAACGTTCAAACCATGGCGCCTCAGCGTCAAGTCAAACTCTCTAGGAAACAGAAACTCTTGAACCGTAAGGATCGTGGTCCGGAAGCGGAACAAAAGAAGTTATTTACACTTGCTCGCCTCCTAGAAGTCCAGAAAAGACACGAAGCGCAACCCTTCCTTCGTACCGCTCTGGGCAAGCTACCTCCCGAGCTTCGTGTCAAAATCTATCAGCAGCTGCTGGTGGGACCACAATCCCGAGCAGACAACGAATTTCGGAAGGTTCCACTTGCTACTGAGAAGGCACTTCTAGACGGATCCTCATCAACTGCCTCTCCACGCTTCATTCACTTGAAAGGCTCTGGTCTCTCAATCTTACGAACCTGTCGCCAGATCAACCTCGAAGCTTCTCCCACCTTCTATGGTAGCGCCTTACCCTACTTTGCAAATGCACAAGAGCTTTCTCGCTTTCTCGTCGGCATTGGGCCAACTGGCCGCTCGAATCTCGAAGCTTTTCGTGTTGGAAGCCTCTTATTACAAGAACCATTCCAAGAGCAAGAAGTACCACATTACCATTATGATACCGGCGTGTTTTACCTTCACAGCGAAGGCTACATCTCCTGCCGTCGCGGAAGGACGGATCCGGAGGTCACGGGCGCTTTCAACCTATTGACGGAGTGCAAAAATCTTCGCAGAATCTATATGGATATGAGTCAGGGTGAGGAATGTATGCATGTTGCCATCCTACGGACCTTTTTCAATCGACAGCACACTTACTTGCGATGCTTTGGGTCCCATTGTTGGTACGTTCAACGACGAAGAAAGCTACGCCTCGACGCCGCGCGACCAGAGTTCTTTTACACTCTGCGAGCTTATCGTGAGCTTCTTTCATCTGGGAGACCCATGGGACGTGAAATATTGGTGGAGGTTGACGTCAACGCGGAGCTGTATCAACCACGACCTTTCCACCAGACTCTTCTAGGAAAGCTACCTCCAGAACTTCGGTTAAGAATCTATCACGAACTAGTGGCCACTCCACCCATGCACGCAGGCCAAGAACTGACTGCACAAGGCATTCGTGCTGAGCCCAAGAACGCAAATGGGCCGGGTCCACCAACAACAACGTTCGCCCATCTTCAAGCTTCGTGCCTTGACGTTCTGGAAACATGTCGTCGAATCTATGTCGAAGCTTATCCGTTGTTCTATGCACGTACGTCCTACTACACTGACAACATCAAAGAGTTCTCACTATTCATGAGACTCGGCTACCCTTTCGACTCACCACTTCGGAGCAGCACGATTACTTCTCTATGTGTAAAAAACCTTGTCTCTCAGTCAAAAAGCTTGCATCAGCCACAATCTCCCTCAATTCGTGGGTCCCAGTGTTGGGCTGTTACAGGCTAGCAGAATTGGAGAGTCTACGAAAGTTTTATATCTGCATGCGCGTCGGTGAAGAGCTCGGGTATGTAGAGTTACTATTTCGTCTACCGCGCATGAACCGAGGAGTTATCGATTTTCTAGATGAGTCTCACTGGGTGCTGCGTTTACAAAATCCTGAAGAAGAATGGAAAGTTCAGTATGCTTGTTTTATAGGAGACGGTTGGAAAAAGGGAAAAGGAGATGTGGAGCTCAGTTTCGACGAGATTTATATCCAACGACGGATCTTGATGAATGATACTCAGGCTCCAGGGCTGGAACAAGGACAAGAGCGCTTCGTGGAGGTGGACATTAAAGCCCCATTGGAGAAATGTATGCCTTGGAAGATGCTAGCCATGGTGGACAAGTTCGGTGCTCTCAGCATAGGATCAGGGTTGTGCGATGGGCATGGCCGTGACGAAACGTCGGGACGGACGCTGGTGCCCTGACCAACAGTAAAGTCGCAGAGAACGATTGAAGCGCTGGCGGTTCATAGACTGGCAGAACTAAATTGACATGCAGTGCCACACAGTAAGTCGAACAAGCTGAAGGTTCTGAGAAGATTACTCACCCGAATGTCACTTATTGTTTCGTGACTCCAGGGATCTTCACTTCTTGTATAGATTTGGGTATATTAGCGGCCTTGAAATCGTAGTGATAAAGAGTCTTGAAACGCACATAGAAACGATTACTGTCCGAGTCATGATTGTAGAGTTGGCAAAGTGGATCAGTGCGTTGCGCAACCAGGCCCAATGCCAAGAATCCCACAGGCATCTAAGTACGCTCGATCAAGACTGTTACTATCATTCCAGCCATCTTTTCTTTTCAGACTTGATACTGGTGGAACGGTGTGGTTTGGATCGTCACATTCCGTCTATCTGTTCGTGGCGTTCACGAGTAGATTGACACTACAGAACACAGGGAACAACCATAACGCGGATTTGTTGACAACACAATTTTCCGAGAGAGGGGATAAAATCATATACCTGCGCACTCTCCCCTCGGACTTCCACCTTCCTCCTTCATCACACCACTTTGATTCTTAGAATTGGCTCTCTGTCCCTGACCATAACCTCTTGACTCTAGGATAGGTTGCGAGAGGCTTTCGGTAGTGCTAGAAGCCATGGCACCAAATCGTCAATTTCCTAGGGCCACGGAACGAATCCACTCAAACCCTTCTCCCGAAGCCAAACGCCATGGCAATGAAAAGTTCTCTGCCGATGACACAACTCATTGGATGAAGGGCCAATTCTTCTCTCATGTTGGATCGAGCCTGGATGCTCTTCGCAATGCTACGGCAGAGCGAGTGCCGGACAATCACGCTCGCGAGCAGCTTCTACAAGACGAGCTGATCAAGGTTGGCGACTATGTCAATCAATACTTGTCGGACTCAAAGCATGTGCATCCAGTCTTTCAATCGTCGAAGAAAACTCCGCAACAGTGCTGGTGAGCCTTCATATCAAATCCTGTCGTTGTCTTTCCCAATCTAATCGTAATTTTAGGGAACTTGTGGTGCATTACTGGCCGACCCCTCAAATAACGGCAGCCCAGATACAAAGCTTGTATGAGGCCTCAAAACAAGCGATACTGCGACCTTTCCTCAAAACCAGCCTTGGCGGATTGGCTCCTGAGACACGCCAGCAAGTCTACCGCAACTTATTGGCCGAACCTTCTCCATTTGCCGGCTGGGACTACCGTGCCCTGAGCACCATTACCCTCCAAAGACCTCCAATATCGCTCGCAACCTTCGTCGACCTCAAGGCTTCATGTCTCACGGTCTTGCAGGCCTGTCGTCAGATCTACCTAGAAGCCTTTCCGATCTTCTACGCTTGCAAATCCTACTATCTAGCCAAGTTCCAAGACTTAGCAACATTCTGCAAGCTTGGTCGCGATTTGCGAGTAGGGCCTCGGCTATTCCAGGTCGATACAATCACCTCATTGTGTCTCAAGGATCTTGTCATAAACAGGCAAAAGTGGAAACCCCAGCAGATTGAGGAACTGATGTCCCGATGTCCTACCTTCAATCGCGAGCAGCTCGAAGCGGCACGGACTAACGAAATAGACTGCGACCACGTCCTTGTAGACTTGGAGGACATGATAAGTCTTCGCAAGATCTGTCTCTGCATGCGTGTTGGCCAAGAGTGGGAACATCTTGAATTTCTGTTCAACATAGGAGGATTGAGGCGCGGAGTGATGAGGTTTGTGGATGACTTCCATTGGACCATAAGTTCGCAGAACGGGTTGGGAGACGATTGGAACATCCAGTACGCTGCCTTCCCCAACACCTTTTACAGAAGAGGAAAGAACTTTGAACTATTGGATTATCACGATGTCTCAATTCAGGGAGAGGTTTTGAAGATTGACTCCCGCGCTTCGGATCTAGTGGCAGATGATGAACGTTGGGTTGAGGTTAATATCGGGTCGTGCGACTTTGAGGAAGGGGTACCAGACTGGGACCCACCAGATGTCGTTCCAGGTCAGGTGTCGGAAAACCAACAAGCACTACGAGGCGGACAAACCGTTGATCTTTCGTCGGACGATGGGTCAGATCATGGGTCTGAGAACCTGCAAGGATCGGTGGATTGGGGGGAAGATGGTACGCAAACGGACAATGAGCCAGATCAGGAATCTGGGTATTTACGAGGACAGTCAGAGGGGGAGAAAGATACGATCCAAATAGACAATGAGCAAGATCAAGAATCCGAGGACTTGCAAAGACAGCCAGATGGGGTGGAAGATGGTGTCCAAATAGATATTGAGCAAGATCAGGAGCCGATGGACCTGCAAGAACAGCCAGATGGGAAGAACGATGGCGCGAAAATGGATGATGAGCCAGGTCAAGAGTCTGGCTATCCACAAAAGATTGCAGACGGAGATGAACACAATTCCCAAGCCGAATCTGATGCAAACTGGGAGTCGCGGTTATTGCAAGAACCGTCTAGCGAAGACCACACCGGTGCCTCAACTGAGATTGTACCAAAGGAGGAGTCGGAGGGTCTTCAAAGTCCCCTCAACATAAAGATTCATAGTCCTTCGACAGCAACCGAATCACAGCAAGGACTGGAAGCTTCTGGAGAGTTGGTGGACGGCAAATTTGCCTACGTGCAGGCGGGAACGGGCTCTTTCCAAACTCCAGCGATCGTTTCAAAAGTGGGAGACAAAGACAGTCTCGAAGCCCGGCCAGCAGAGAGGACGCAAGTGACGACAGAGCACTCTTCAGTATTTCAATACCGATGTCACTACGACGCTCAGACTCAGACAGTGCCAGTGGATACTGAACATTGCAATGCTGGGACTCAAACAAAGCCAGTGGATTTTGCAGAAGACTTGCGAGGTGAAAGCCAAATGGCTACTGTTCCTTCTCAGAATGATGTGACTTCAGGCAAACGTGCAGTGTACCAGCCAAGATTACAAGATGGACATATCCAGCCGAAATCAAAGCCAATCGAGAAGCCCCATGACTCCGAAAAGTCTGCGAAGCCGCTTCAGAAGACCAAGAAGTCTCCGATTCTGCTGCAATCATCCCCGGACCCCGGCAATTCTGCAATCCCTGAGAAATCAAAGACGCACATCGCGACCGTGGACAAGAGTTCGACTCCAAAGGCAAAGCGCCAATCTCTGCCGACTCCGCACCCAAAACATTCTTTGAACGGATGCATTCGAGCGGCTGCGCTCATGCTTGCTCTGGCTCTGTTGTACGTGGTTCTGTACGCAAAGCTGGAGAACACATTGGGACAACTACTCGCTCTGCTTCTGTTTGTTCTACTATTCTTCGTAGCCCTGTGGTCAGAGAGCGACTGACTGCTGGATCTCCCGTCTACAGCGGTTGATAGATGGGGGTAAAGGTTATGTTTGGACAGAGCACGCTTTGTAGATATGTACTTAGACCCCTCGAATGACTAGATAGTTATTCAATAGTACTACCAGGTTTTGAACAGTATTCATAAAGGTCTTCTTCCATGAGTGACACATACAATCATGACTTAGCTCAAAAGGCTCGGGAGGCGGGCCTCAACACTCTGACTTTTCTCCATGCATCTCCAAGTGTCTGATGTGTTAGGAGAAGGGTAGTAGCGTCTTGGCACAACAACATTATGCCTTGCTTCACATGGCTTCGTATAAATCAATATCACGTACACCAACACGAAAATTCTACTAGTGCCAATGGAAAAGTCAGGCTTACATCCCAGCAGCTATGAACACATGGAATGCAAGCGGGCATGACACCCACCCCCAGACATTCTTTCAAAAGTTCTGAATCCTCCTTATCATCTACCTGCACTCAACCTTTGCCAACACTATGGCACCTCATCCCCCAGATGATCATGACCAAAAGCCAAGAGACCAGAGTATCGAGAACATCCATCTCATGGACTTCAGTATCGACAATAATTTAGACGGAGATGAGAATCTTCTAGGGCAACGAGATGCTGCATTTCAAGGCCACTGGCCAGATTTGCGGGTCAAAACATCTGTACATTCAGATACAGCAGACTCAACAGAGCAAGCAAGCGTTCTGAAAGACGCCAAGGACCACTACAAAACTAGGATCACACAAAGCGCCGATGGTCTAGACCTTAAGCCATTTCTCCAGACTTCCTTCGGGAAGCTGCCCCCAGAAATACGGGAAAAGGTCTTCATCGAATTGCTCGCTACTCCACCGTCATATGCTGGCCATGACTTCGCTACCAGCCCCCCGAAGCCCGAGATGTCTCCAACAGCACCGGCACCAAAGAAGTTCGTGCATATCAAGGCATCGTGGCATCAGGTCACACGAACTTGCCGTCAGATTTACATTGAATCACGCCCCGTGTTCTTTGCCTCCAAATCTTACTATTTGGCGGATGCTCAAGAGTTGGAGCACTTCTTTCACTACGTTGAAGTTCCCTGGCGAACAACCTTTCGGTGTAATACTATCACTGCATTGTGTCTAAAGGGTCTTGTTGCTTACCTACCCTTGTTTACTGAGAAGCAGATTGACGACATATTCTCCGATCCGACTGACATGCTAGGCGTCTACAACACGCGGCAAGAACTCGAGGCGATGACTTTCGAGACTCTCGATATTCCTCACTACTGTCCTCTGAGACGCCTCAACAGCCTCAGAACAGTCAGCCTGTGCATGCGAGTTGGCGAAGAGATGTTATACGTCAATCTCCTATATTTCTTGAGTGGCATGCGGAAAGGCTTGGTAGAGTTTGTGAATGCATCTCAATGGTTGATACGTCCACAGGCTCCTGAGGACGTTTGGAGAATTCAATATGCTTGTTTCATCAATGGCGATTTTGCAAGGGGCAAAGACAATGAGGACGTTCCATATGACACGCGCTGCATTGAACTAGAGACCACGGACATTGACTCACGCGCACCAGGACTAAAAGAGGGTGATGAGCGCTATGTTGAAGTTCAGATCCAACTCGCCGCGAACCAGCAGCAGTTGCGAAATCCCCTAGACGGAGATGAAAACGACATAGGGTGGGAAACAGCATCTGATCACAGCGACATGGACCCATCTACTCAAGACTCAACCCAGGCTCAGCCTGAGACACCACAAGACGAAGTCGAGGACATTGCGCAGGCAGAAATATCAGAAAATGACCACATGTTCGCCGTACTTGAACCAGAGCCAAATCGGACCAATCAGTCTTCATTCCTGGGGCCGCAAAGCGAAGCTGCCAGTGGCCCTCAATCAGACACTGATACAGATCAGGAGGAGGGCCAGATTCTGTTAGGACCTGGTAGTGAAGAAGTCTCTGGTACTCAGCCGGAAACACAGTCCGACCACCAGGCCACGGATTCTCCATCGTCCAGACCCTCTATACGTGTAACACACGATGCCCCAACAGATAATGAAGATGATCGAAGGTTCCTGCTCGACTCCGAAGACCCGGACAACCACGTTCAAACCGACACCAAAGCCAGCGATCCAGCGCCCCAAGTGACAGAATGGCAGCACGATGACGCATTCCACGCTGAGAGTGCAACCGAAACAGACCAAATGCAAAGAAACCCAAACACCGAAGTCAAAAGCGAGAGCCGTCGCACAACCATCAAGTATCTATCGGGCCAAAAAAGACGACTCTTGTTGGATGTTCTGGACACACCAAATCCGTATACGGAGGAGGAGATGGAATCATATCAGGAGTGGCAACAACTGGCTATTGGCGGAGCCCACCAGAAGACCGAGAGAGATTCTCACCAAGGAGAACAGCCTTCTACGCCAATTGGAAAAAGGCAGGAGCGTCAGGCGAAGGGCCCTGGCGAGGCAAGCCTGACCGCGACTCCCAAAGAAAAGCATCCATCGCCAGCATCACCACAAGGTTCCGAGATGCCCTCCAAATCCGTCCCAATGGGTGTCCTCTTTCTCTTTTTCTTGCTCCTGGCGATAAGTCGTCATTCTGAGTGGCTGTCGAACGCAGGTCAAGACAGAAAGGGGTCAAGTCAACGGTGAGAAAACCCCTGTCTCAGGAAAAGAAATTGTTGATGGAGGAATCTACACGGTTAATAGATTGCGACGATCCATGCAGTGTGCTCGTGCGGAAAGTCCGAGTCGAGTGTGAATTAGGACTGTATGTGCAATTCATAGATGAATACCCATGATGTCAAATTGAAAAGCCAATCCGATATTGAAGTGCGCCCAGCCTTAACCTAGTGATGCTTTCTGTAGCAACTGCAACTGTTTCCCGACCTTGATACCAATACTCACATCTAATCATCTACTGCTGGAAAGTGACCATACCCCTGCCGCTCGAAAAAAATCCACATCATCAGCTCTTGCTCGACTCACATCACTCCGCAAGTAAACACAAAGCTGTCACTAATTATTACTTTTGCGTGTGATAGGTGGATACGACTAAGGCAGTGAAGACGTGACTTCACCTACTGAACGATGAAGATTCGGAGAATTCACAGTGTGAATTCACCTGTTTGTGTGTTATTCCCTGTGGCATCCTAGAGTATTTAAACCCCCCAGACCTCCTCTCTCTCCGACATACGCATCCGCAACATATCTCCTATGTATTCAATATACCCACTATAAATCAGCATCTCTATAACCTGGTTTCTATTAACCACCCTTGCAATCAGTATATATGTCTTTTTGACTTTCTTCCAAGTTTTTGCAAATGATCCGTGCAGCTTGGTTTGAACTAGAGATCTCCATATATAAACTTATCAGAGACCGTCTCTCCTCAAGCACCTCAATGGGGTCTTTCTGAAGTCTCGTGCCGAGACACTCACAGCGTGAGGTCTATTCTCCGAGCTCTCTTCCCTTCCCAATGATATTCTCGCATCATCTACCAGACCAGTCATGCCATTCTCCTACACCTACGCCAGCCGCTGAACGGCTTTACCTGCCAAGTGATAACTGGGATACCGTCCGTCAGAAAGCACTCACAGCTCTCACAGCTTGCTCAAGCTTCTCTTGTTCTACCGGTTTGGCCGGTGCCCCTTCCGGGCTCAACGAACTGGAAGACGACTGCAATGAGTTGGAGCGAGATGGCCGGAGATCACCGCCCGAGACGATCTTCAGATCAAAGTTGGCCAATTGAAGACGGACAACCAAGACCTTGAGTCATCATTGACTTGGAAGTGGGCCGATCAGAAGACGAGCGAAGAGCGCCGAGCCGAGCAAGAGAAGTTGGTGGCCGAAACCGTAAAGGCCTTATCGGATGCTACCACTACTGAAGAAGCACAGGACAAGCGTATCGAGGATCTCGAACAAGAGGTCACACACCAAAAGTCCGGGACGCAAGGATCCAAGCTGGCAAGGACAAGAAGAAAGACCACTGAGCTGGAAAGAGAAGTGGCCGATTTCGTGACGGATACCGCTGAGCTCGAAGCTCAAGCCAACATGAGAAAAGGTAAGTAGAACTTGATCAAGAGCTTCGAGGATATGACAGCAGAAATGGAAAGAGCCTTGAAGGACAGCAGCGGTGCGAAGGCCAGGGGAGAAAAGCTCATCGGTGAGCTTCAAGCGCAAGTCACGTTGTGGGAGAAGGAAAGAAGAAAATATATAAAAATAAGACAGAATGCATAGAATAGGGGCTTCCAAGAAAGCCGCAGCCAAAGAGGCGAGCAAAGAGATCGGAGAGGTCCCGAACGCTTTCCGTGAAGACCCAAAGATATCGAGAGTCCGGAGGGAGACTTCACACAGCTCGATTCTTCCACTGACCAATCGGCTCTTCACCTCCCTCCAAAGTCGGCAGAAAATCTCAAGGCCGCCAACGTCTGCGGTTACTGCCGGAGCAAAGGCATGCTCCCACAATCAGTCATCATTCCAGAAACTAATGGAAGCGCAACAGGATGGTCCGCGCAATCAGCAGCGAGCAAGCTGAGGGATGGAATAGTTCACCTAACCATCCGTCAACTCGAGGAGGCTCAGAATAATGGGCACCATCCGACCTCAGAGGAGAGCGCGCGTCTGTGGGAGGAATTGATCGTCGAAGCATGCGAGCAAGTCTGTGGTTGGCAAGCTGAGGGATGGAATAGTTCACCTAACCATCCGTCAACTCGAGGAGGCTCAGAATAATGGGCACCATCCGACCTCAGAGGAGAGCGCGCGTCTGTGGGAGGAATTGATCATCGAAGCATGCGAGAGAGTCTGTGGTTGCGCGCAAGTGCTTCGACGACACGACGGTCGACCCCATCTCAGACCTAAGATCCAAGGAAATGAGAGCTTCTTTATAGGTTCACTGTAACCCATACAGGTTGTCGCAATGTCTCAATTTTTCGCCATCCTGCTCCGCACGCAAGTTTTGCAGTTCAGGGCCGCCTTTTTCTGCGACTATTTTGGTCACAACCGTTGATATCATGTCCCTCACCATCGGTAACGAGCCTTCCCAATGAGTTAGTGTATAAAAACCAGAGCCTCATACTAGACACCGTAGAAATTGCCCAGGGAATATTCCCACGCCTGTCAGCATAGTCAAATTCTGAAGGTTTCCGCTTTGGGAACGGAAACGACCAACCTCCTCCTTTTTTCAACACTCGTCAACACAGGCGCAGACGGACCAATATTCCTCCGGAAAATCGCACACCATCGCACCCACAAACCTCTTCTGTCCCACCTCTTTCCATCATCATCAGACATCTCCTACCATCGAGGTCTCTTATCATACCATCAGACACCTCAACATCGACGAAGCTTCGATACGTTCCTGTACCTCTTGAGTGGTATTCAACCCTCCACGCCCGTCACCACGAGTACAGCGGCGGCGTTGGGCCTCTTGCTGGCACAGCTTTCGGGAGCCAAAGCTTTCGAGCAACAGACGGCGAAAACCCTCACACACCGACTACTCCTTCACCATCTTTCCGGTCACCTGTGGAGTTTACCAAATCGGCACCAAACACAAGGTGTTTTGCTTGCAGTGCCGCCGTCAAATCTTTGACACGCCCTCAAATCCCTCGACAGTGCTCAAGAGCAATACTTTCACAACAAAGAAGGCAAACAATCTGCTACATCGACTGCTCCTTCACTGAAATCGCTCTCTCGCGTCGGCCATATCGGCAACCCACAGAGAGCATTTCGCCTCCAGCAACATTCTTTCCGCTTTCCGTCACGACATTTCCACCTCGACCCACACTTTCGCCGGCAAGATACCACAACATCCACGGCCACATACACCACAACCATGGCACTTCTCATGAGTCCAGAATTCCTGATGCGGCACCTCAGCCCCATGCACGTGGCGGTGCCTATTGCGGCTACGCTTTTGGGTGTTGCCGCCAACTACGGTCCTCGAATGTTTGCAAGTCCAGCAATCGAGGTCATACCGCAAGAAATAGGGGAGTTTGCTTTCCACAATGGAGTCCTGATTCCCCACCAGGACTACTTGTACGGGTCCTCGGAGACCGGTGAACCCTTCATCGTGGGAAAAAAGCTAGCTGGGCAGGACTACTCGGCATGGGAAGCTGGATATGAGAAGTTCGCAAAGTTAGAGTCACTGACATTTGTCGATTCGGGTTCGAAGTCGACCTGGTCTTGGTCCTTCGAAGAACCAAAGGCCTCCACAAGCTCAGATTGGTTGAAGCTATTGCTTTGGCTCATTTTCGGCACCATGTGCCTCCTTATGCTCAGCTATCTTGTACGCAAGATTGTGAGCAGATTCTCGTGCCAAAACCGCAAGAACAAAGAGGGGATTCTGGCAAACCCAACCAGCGATATTGATGCGGAGAACGCAAAGTTGAACCTCCTGTGGCGAACCACTCTGATCAGCATGTACCGAGAGCGAAAGAGCGAGAACTTGTTGCTCAAGAGCGCACTTGAAACACTGAAGGCGGAGCATGCTGACAAATTCGCTGAGCAACAGAGAGAGATGGACAACCTAAGGCAGATGCTCGATACGCAAAAAAAGCTTGCACAGAATCTGGAGAACTCAGATCACGCAGTTGCAGCGGAAAACACCACGACTAAAGATCCGTTGGGTGGCGGCCAGCCGGAGTCTGATGTGATGCCAGAGGAGGCGGTAGCTGGAAGCCAGGACGGAGTCGTTGACCTCCCTGTGGAGAGCTCGGAGGGCGAGCACGCCATGGCAGAGGCGGGTTCAGATGATGATGAGAAGACAGGCGCGATAGAGCAGGATGATGATACTCCTGCACTTGACAACGAATCTCCTGGCCCAAAACTGGGGAAGAATGGGAAACCACGAATCCCGCGGGCAAACAGGAGAGCTGATGGAAGCATCCGGACTCCATCGCATCCGGACTACGTTCCTTTGGAAGAAGCCCCGTCACGGCTGGGTGATCGCCCATTCCGCGGTCCTGGCCGTGGCAATGGCTGGAAAAGACGACGTGGTGGCGGTGGTGGCTGGAATGATGGTGCACGTTTCGGTTGGATAGGTGGCAGAGGTGGTGGAGGAGGAGGGGGAACGAATTGGGATAACGGACAGTCGAGCCAAGGAAGTGGCCACTAAGGGGTCCAGCGGTAGGGACGAACGCAGCACGGAAGTACTCGGATGATTAAATCTCCGATGTCGAAAGAGTAAAGGGTAGAGCTTCAAAGTGGCACAGTATACTCGGATAACGATGTCTCCGATGGCTAGAGGTTGGAGTGTCAGGGCCTTTTCATGTTCATTCATAGAGTGATCAAGTCTTCGTTCGCTCTTGCTCTTTATAGGATCATGGCGTTGGTGGAATTCCTTGTACTAGGATCAGAATCATTATCACCAATGCAATAACTCTTCGCCACAGCTTGACTGGGGGCTAGTGAGGGAGAGGCACAGCACACACTTATGGCAGGATAGCCGAGATTACTATATTGGAAGAGCCTTGAATAGGCGGTGTCCCCCCCGTTTCTTACTCTTTATTCTTATTCCTCTCGTCGTAAGAAGAGGTTTTTAAACTTTTTCTCTTTTCTGATATCAGACGAAAGCAATTTTCATTTAGAAAACACATTATTCTTCTACATTGCTATTCAGCCACTACCAATAGCCCCTAAGCGTCCTCGCAAGCCTACCGCAAAGGCCATAGCTACACATTAGACTATCGCCACCAGATTATCACCCCTACAAAAACCGCCCACTAAATCTATAGAAAGGCCCTCTAATAAATCCTTACCCCCCTCTATTCTTACTATATCTTTTATTTATTAGCTAGATCCTTTAATAAAATTACTTATCTCATTAGAGTCAATTTTTAATCTCTATATTATTTAATTATAATTCGCTTATTAAAAACTCGAATAAGAATAGATTAATAAAAATAATATACTTTAGAATTATAATAAACTCGCCTATATATAAAGCGAGATTAATAAGATTTATATTTATCGCTAGTCGATTATCTCTATCTTATATTAATCTATACTCTAAGCTCTTATATTATTAATTTATTAATTATTTCTATTTACTCTATCTTTCTAATCGTTATTTATATCTCTTTAAACTCTATAATTAATTTTAATTCTATTATAGTAGAGAATATTAATATTATCTAAGACGAAAGTAATACTACGTTACTTTTTTTTATATTAAAATAATAACTTTATAATAATTTCTCTTCTTCTTTATTTTAAAGCGATAAACCTTAAATATATTAAATAAATCTATTATAAGATATTTAATATTAAATATCTTAATAAACTATTTAATAGCTTTATTAATTATCTCGCTAGCGATAATAAGAAGACTAAGGAACTTAAAGAGCTTCTTCGATATTTCGAGATTTATAATTAAATTATATATTTCTTTATCTATAAAATAATTATCTTATTTCTTTAAGAAGCTCTATTAAATTATCGCTATTATATTTCTAATTTATTAACTATCTATATCTTTTAATTAATATACTATTTTTATAAGATCTTCGTTTATAATAGAATTTAACTTTATTAAGACGATATTTATATATAGCGAATATTCGATAATTATTTAAAAAATTGAATTTTAAAATAGCGATTTTCGTTAATTTAATTAAAAGCTTACTTACTATATAATTTATATCTAAATTAAACTTTATTCTAGATATATTATAATACTACTTTTATATCTTCTTATTAAAATATCTAAAATTCTTAATTATTCTACTATAATTAATTTAATTATAATAAACTCTATAACGCTTAAGATTATTATTATTTATATATATATAATATATATAATCTATTATATTCTATTATTAGTTATATTAATAAAGCCTTTATTAATATTACTTCGCTAAATATAAGACTCTCTTTTATCTCTTAATTATAATTAATATTAAAAGGTTTTAAATTAATAATTAAATTATTTTTATATATACTTATCTCGCTAAGTAAGTTTTTATTAAAGAGATATAATTTATTAAAAAAAGATAATTAAAAGAAATAGCTTAAGAATTATCTCGATTAGATATTCGCTAATATCTTACTTATAATTATTACTCGCGATATTAAAATAAACTATTAAGATCTTAATTAATTATTATTAAATAAATCTTATTCTAATATTGCTATAATATCTAAAATATTATTTAAAGATCTTTAAAAGTAAAAGAATAATAATTATCTAATAAGATTAGACGTAAAATCTTTAGAATACTTTATTTTATTTTTATTAGATCTTATTCCGAAGTATAACGATAGCTAAAAAAGAATTTATAATCTTTTTTTTCTATAATTATACTTCGTTAATTACTATATTTATAAGATCTATAAAGTATTTAAGTATATTATATTAAATAATATTATTAATATTTTACTTACTTAGAATTAAGATATAATTATAATTAAATAAGATCTCGTTAATATATTTAGATATATTTCTATAGCCGAGTTAAACTTTTAACTATTAAATTTCTTTTAAAATAACTTCTATTATATCGATAGATTCTTATTATTTAATCTATATATCGTATCTTTTATTTTTAATCTATTTACTAAAGCTCTTTATTAAATACTCGTTATTATCCTCTTCTAAAGTATCGTATTTTACTATCTAAATAACTTCTTCGCTATTCTTTCATCTAACGATAACGTAGCTTAATTTAGTAAGAACTTTAATATTATTTATAATAATTATAACTTAAAGATAAATTATATTAAAAATAAGAAAGATATTTTTATTGAATTTTTAGGAATTTAATTTAATAGCGAGAAGATAAAGATTAGACTCTCTCTTAATAAGTTAGAACGAGTAAGAAAGTTAATAAAAGCCCTTTTAAATAAATAAAGTATCCCCTATAACGAGCTTAAGTTAGCGATAGATTTATTATTCTTCTTCGCTAAAGTAATAATTTCTAATAAAGCTTTTCTAAGAAGACTCTACTCTATACTATTTAAAAAATAAGAATATTATTATATTATTACTATAATCGTAGTAAATCTACGCTAATAAGATATCTTTCTATTTAGATAAAATAGAATATATTTACTCTATTATATAGTTATATATTATTATTATTATTTTATATAAATAAACGCTTCTAGTAAGTATAGAATAAAAGAATATATTCTTAAGAATATCGCTATTTATTCTAAACTAGATAATATATTTAATATATATTTTATTACTCGCTATCGTAAAAAGAATATCTAATTTAAAGAGATATTTATTATTCTTATAACTATTTATAAATAACTATCTTATTTATATTAATTATATCTTACGCTCTATTATAATAACGGCGTTATTATTAAGAATATTTATAGTAATTCTATATATAAGTTAACTATAATATCGCTTAGATAAATAATTATACTATTTACTTAATATAATATTATTTATAATATAATTTAAATCTCTATTAAATAGAATATTTTAGTCGACTTACTCTCTTACTTTAAATTTAATAAAATTATTAACTTATATTTATAGTTAAGCGCTCTTAATCTATATAGAAATTATTAAATTATAATTTATTTAAGTTATAATATAAGAAGATTTCTCTAAATTATAATATTATAAGATATCTCTAATAGAATCTAATTAATAAAATAAGAAGTAGCTATTAAACGGCGAAGGCCTTCTATATCGAATTTTATACTCTATTAAAAACTATTATATTTTTTATTATTATTTAATTACTTATTAACTAAATAGTATATCTAGCTAATTATTATATTTAGATTAAATCTATTAAGACTTATCTTATAGGCGTTTAATTAGTCTATATAAATATAAGATTTAAAAATCTTAAGATCTTTTATTATTTACTATTATAGCGAGTAATTATCGATATTTATAGACTATATAGCGAGGCTAATATTAAAGAATATTATTTAATTATATAAGATCTACTACTTTATATTCTTATTTAATTTAATAAAACTTCCTTAGAGAAAGTTATCTTATATACTTTCTTTTATCTCGCATTTACTATATTTCTTTATATAAATAAATTTATATAATTTTAAATTAAATTTGAGAATAGCGACTTCGAATAATAGTATATTATAAGATATTTAATTACGCTCTATAGTTATTATATAAAATTATCTCTATTAATCTTAAAGATAAATTTATTTAGAAGAGAAATTACTCTATTTATTATTATTATAAATAATAACGCTTATTCTATTTATTCGCTATAAAACTTATTTACTCGCTTCTCTATTAATAAATTATTATCGCTATTTAATTTAGATAAGATCTTTATAAGATAATATATTATCGCTATACTACGTAATATCTTATATATACTTAATTACCCGAGTTACTACTTAAGATACTCTTTTTATAAAGAAATTATTATCTTCGCGAGAGACGTTGATTTAATTAATAATAAGATTTAACTATTTAATTATCAAAAGTCTAACTTATATCGTCTATATATCGAAATATACTTAATCTATATTCTCGCTATATTATATTATTTCTAGCGTTCTTATTTAGCTTAGAGCTAATAATTTTTATTAGATATAGATTTATTTTAGAAGTTTTTTTAAAGCTAAGCTATATAGTAAATTATTATCTATATATAATTAAATCTTAAAATCTAACTAATTATTATTTAGAACTTATTTATATATATAATTTTTATAAAATATTATATAAGATAGTATTAATCGCTATAACTTAATTAAGAGCTAGTAAGAAAGAGATATAATATATACTTATAATAGAATAGTCGAGATTACTATATTAAAAGAGCCTTAAATAGACGATATCCCCTCTATTTCTTACTCTTTATTTTTATTCCTCTTATTATAAGAAGAGATTTTTAATCTTTTCTCACTTACTCGCATCTTATTTTTTTAGTATTTTCTTATACTTAGACTTTAAGTCTTCTATCTTATATAGAGGAAGTTTTTCTAGAGCTAAGCTATATAGTAAACCGCTATCTATATGCGGCTAAGCCTTAAAATCTAGCTAATTATCATTTAGAACTCATTTATACGTATAGTTTTCATGAAACGTTACGCGAGATAGTACTAGGTCGAAATAAGGTTCCTAGCCTCCTCCCAGCCACCTGTTGAAATAATCACCTAATTTATAAG